TCATCAGTCACCCTGGCCTGTGACTTCACAGTCAGCATGACTCTCTTTAGAAGTTCTAACACCCAAACTCTGCACCCCCCTTGTTTTGCCAAGGACTCTGCTTCAGAGTTCTCACCATTAGCACCTATCGGCATTTTGGAATGGATAAATCTTCGTTATAGGGTGTGTGCTGTGCATTATAGAATGCGTAGCATCCTGCTGCTGGCTGCCAACCACCAGTAGCCACTGTCCCCACTTGTGATCATCAAAACATGTCCCAGACATTGCCAATCTCTCTTGGGAGTCAAAACGACCCCTGAGGACCACTGCCCTATTTTAATGGATAGGAGCATATCTTTTCTTAAAATTGCAATTTATTATATTTTAAAATCCTCTCAGTGAAATTTTGCTTTCATTAGTTCACTCCCTGTAAGTGTTTGACTTAGTAAGTAATGTTGGAATTCGTGATTTCTTAAGAAGAACCATGTAAACACGTATCCATCTGTGTGAAGCTCAAGGCAATGTGTCTATATAAAGTTCATCATCAGTCAATTTAGATGCCTGTCGACTGCTGCTCCTTTCCTTCACGTGAGCAGTTAACTAGCTGATAACCGTGGCAGGACTAGTCTTGCTATTCTTGTTGCTATTACTTAGTAGCCACCATAATATAATCATAATACCTCTGTGATCTTAACTAGTGGTTTCCATTTTACCCCTCTGGGTTCTAATATCCATTGTAATAGCTACAGAGAGCTCCCAAACAATATTCCTGATTAGAGGACTTACTAAGGAAGTTAACAGGTTGAATTGCCGGTGAGAAGTGCTCAGGATAGCTGTTTATCTACACACGTTACAGAGCTCTCCAGTAGATGTGTTTTCGCAACCATGTGTACCAGAAGCTTCTTAAATTCTCCTGTACTAAACCTAGAAGAGAGTGTGGATCGGGCTTCTGAAGAATAGTATCGCTTTCCTAAGGAAGATGCTCTTTGCCCGCCTTATGCCAGCTTCCGGAGTCATGGTCTAGACAGCACTGACATTCCCAGGATCCGTCTAGAAAAGCAGGCCCAGGGCAGCATCACGAAGGCTAGATGGTGCCCTGCCTCCTGTTGCCAGTGCGAGAAGAGTTGGAGATGGGAGAGATGACAGTACCATGTGCTGATTCCTTATAAGCTGTACTCACTAGGTCAGCATCAGACACTCAAGAATCAGTCCTGATCTGGCCTAGCCCCATAAATTGGCAGTTTGATTCCAGCCAGATGAATAGCTCTGAAATGCTAGGAGGCCTCAGAACCATTGGTGTGGGTAACAATCCCAAGGCCCTTGTCCTCCACCAGAATTGCTGATGTTGAGGTGCTGCCAGTTCCTGTCTAGTTCAGAAAGCTTCCTTTGTGCATCCAGGAGTTAGGGAATCCTGCGAAGAAATAGTCTTCCCGCCCCACTAGCGGTACATCTACTTCAACCCTCTTGACCTCTGGATATAAAGTTCCAGTCGACCGATTCTAGAGCGGTGCCCAGACCACTGGAAATAGCCACAGAAAACCAGCGGAGTCACCATTCCACCTCCAGTGCTCCTGCTGGGGACTTTGCATAGCCATATTCTCAATCGATGATTATTATTTGAATTGAGACAGTTTCCAAATACTTGATAATCATGTGTCAGGGATAAGATTGAAGAAGATAGTAACAAAGAACGGGGAAAAGTGATTTGACTGATACACAGAAGCTATGCTGAAGAAACAGTAAAAGTACGCACACCATGAGCTCTTCAAATCACCAAGCTGCTTCTTTGAAAAGCTCCAGAGAGAAGACTGCGGGGAACGCAGTACTGCCAGAACTAAAACCAGCAGGGGCTTGTACAGGTAACCCAAGGCAGAAATTGAGCAAAGATTAAATGACTAAATTCCTGGGAAGGAAGAAGGGAGATGTGGCACCCTGACGTGAACATCTGAACGCATGAGAATATGGTCTGAACTTCTGTTTGCAGCGTGGGAAGCTTGTACCAGTGCAGGGGCCAGTCACACACCTCTGTGCGTTTAGGAAAGATTTACTGAAAACTCCGATCTGCAAGGCAGTTTGGATGACAATTCATGGTTCCCAGTGTGTTTGTAAAACTGCCTTTACTGAGAACTGATGATAGCCAAGGCATCTCAGTGTAAACTCAGGATCTGAGTTCAAGGTGTTAGTTTAAGAGCCATTAGTGTAAGCACAGAGGTGGCACAGTGGTTAAGACAAGCATCTTTCTGCTGACCCAAAGCTCTGCTGTCTTGGAGCAAGATGTGACAGTCTGCTTCCGGAAAGATTCCCGCCTTGAAGACCCTGTGGGGCAGTGCACCTATGCCTTCTCGGATCCCTGTGAGTCACAATCCACTCAGGTGAGGTAGCTTAAAGGTCTGATTGGATCCATGGACTGGAGGAGTGCAAAGAGCACCAGGCTTGTTAACAGGGAAGGAGACGGGGACGGGTTCTGCTGTGGAGTAGCCCCAGCCGCCTGGTCTCTTCCCTGTAGCACTGTCCCTCCTTCCCACCACGCGTCACTTACACACCTTTTACCTGCCTGTTGGAGATTCCTAGCTAAAGAGAAATGAAGTCATGTGGCATACAGGCCCTGAAATCTTATCTGACTCCCAGTTTGTCAACTCTGAATCTCACACGTTTGTTTTTATCAAACTCCCACCCTTCTAAGCTTCCGTATCTCCCCCGTTGTTCCCCATCTTCTAGAACACCAACTTGAAGAGTGGTGCCGCAACCTTTACTTATGTTGTCCCGATACTGGATGGTTTCCTGCTTCTCCCCTAATCTGGAGGTCAGGTTCAGCCGAATGCTCCTTCCTCTCTCTCAGTCTTTCTCGCCAGCCTTCAGTTCCCAATCGAGCCTTTGCCTCGATTCCCCCTGGTCATGACATGTGTCTCATCGCTGGTTATACACGTGCCCTTCCTAGTTAGATAAGAAACCCCCAGAGGGCAGCTTTGTGTCCCCACAGCATCTAGCACGGTGCCTTGCTGCTGGAACAGTGTGTGCCCTCAAGGTTTGTGACAGTGTGTTCTAAGGGGCATAAGTAAGATCAAAAACAGGAGAGATAGCAGGGCACTAAACCCACGTACTGATAAACTGTCCCAGGACATCACAGTCATTTCACACAAACAGCTGTTTGTGCATTAATTCCGTCTGGCTTCTCTCCACTCAACCCTTAGGAAAGGTTCAGATTGATGGGATTTTAGGGGGGTGGGGGTGGTAGAGCAATTATATTGAGGTTTTTAAAAATTGAGTAGCTTTACAAAATTAAATATGGGATAAGATTCTAGTCTTGCCGTAGGCATAGAGATTGGAACCCTAAGACTTACTGTGTAAGGAAGAAAGCTTCCACTCTTTAATTTATGTTGTTGCTGTGTTTGGAAGCGGTTCCTTACGCTAAGAAGAAACAGAAGAAATTCTGTTCTGATCGATGCTGATGCTTTTTGAGTTTAGGGTTGATGGTTTCCTGTTGCTCTCGCTTGTTGCTCTCTTGGACAAGGGCAGGTAAACGGTTGTACAATCTGAGTTAATCCTTGAAGTTGGAATTTCCCGTGTTAGGTACTTTTTCCCCCCAAACACATCTCACCTTAGATTAACTTCCCTGGCGGACGAAAAGCGAGGCATCCCTGGTTCTTTCATTGTTGGATGAAATTGGGTCTCGTACTACAGCTCTTGCCCGCACCATAAGTCGTGTTTGTAAAGATTGATATGTTCCATCCAAAGCCGTATAATGAGCTATAATAACACATAATTCGGATCTAGAAAAAGCACAATAGCCACCTGAAATTTTTATGATAAATAACATAGTGCTTGCTTAAAGATTACTGAGGGCCAGATCTTGCTGAAGGGTGACAATGTTCCTGCAGGAATCTCAGTGTGCAGGAGGAAATCTGAGAAGCGAAACTAGCCCAAGTAGCAGCAACACCAGAAGGTAGTACTCAGCCACTCTAGGGCTAACACGGGGATTGGACTCCTTTTCTCTTCTGTTTTTGTTTAGACGCGTTTAAAGAAGTAGGCCAATGCGGCACGTATTTTTCATTAGTATATAATTCAAAACCTTACCAGTTTCTGTATTTCATATGAATCTCAAATGAATTGTCTCTGACAGTTATTTGCACTCTGTTTTACGGCAGCATTGGGTTGATGTATGAAATACTGTGTCTCACGTCCAATGCCGCTTTCTTCATTATCTGTTGATGTAATCAGAGTTATCGTTTCAAAGTTTGGAGGAAGCACTTAAAACTAGAATTGCTTACTATTTTCTTTTTCTCACAAAGTTGCCATAGATAAAGCAGACATCCATAAAAATATAGAGTGAACTGAAAAGATAATGCAGGAAAAATAAACGTAGAGCTTCAGGAATAGCAGTATTTCTATAGTGTTTGTACAGGAGTCCTTACCGACCCTTAACAATACCTGGAACCCAATATTTCCGATGCTGTGTAATGTTGCATATTATAAACTCTGTATAAATACATAGTATCACATGGTTTCATTTAAAATTAATAGTTATAATTATGTTTTTTTTAATAAAAGTTTTTTAAAGAAAATGTGGTTTAGAGATAGGTATATAAGAAATGTATCTAGTGTTAAAGAATATTTAGACTGTCTGGAGAACTGAACCCTGGTGGCACAGTGGGTTCTGCATTGGGCTGTGAACCAAGAGGCTAACTAGTTCGAAACCACCAGCCACTCCTTGGGAGAAAGAGGAGACTTTCTCCTCCCATGAAGTGTCAACAGTCTTGGGAACACTCAGGGACACTTCTACTCTGCCCCCTAGGGTCACTGTGAATGGGAATGGACTAGCTGGCAGTGAGGTTGCAGAGCTGTTCCCTCGGTCTAAATGGCTCAAGCACATGGGAATGTATGGTGTTCCTGGGCCTTCCTGTTCAGGACAGGTGTACTCGCTCCTCCATCGGGAAGATGGGAGGGTTTCAGCGTCTCAGTAATGGCTGTGCCATCATTGTCACTCCCACTGGTTACTAACTGCTTGTTTTCTCTTTCCACAGCACTCACTGCTGAGGGGCAAGTCCTCGGACTTCAGACTGGGCTCGGAGACCATGACACAGTAAGCAGCTCCTCCTTCTAAACACTGGGCAGTGGCAAATAGTTAGAAGGCCTTAAAGGCAATTTCTCCCTTCTCGTTTGTCAAGAGACATGCCGCACTGTGCATTACATTTTAGAGAAGTGCTTTTCCAGAGAGGTCAGCTGCCGCAAACAAGGAGAATAGTTTAGTGATTAAACTTTTGAGAATGCATATTATGAATTATAAGAAATGACGTTAAATAAAAATAAGATCACCTTGAACTGTAAAGGACCTATTTTGTCAATTATTTTTGTTGGAATAACATTTTTTGAAATATTAAACGTGTTAAAAAATGAAATTATGAAATGTCTCAAAAGAGACATTAAACAAAAAGCCATAATACCCAGAGCTTCATCATGAAATGTTTTTTACAAATGGTTTTGTTTTTGTTGTTAATCTCAGGGGAGTCTTTTTAAAAATATTTTTATTTAGTACTTACTATGTCACTTAGTATATAAATAGAAACTCTTACTTGGACTTCTTGCATCACTCACTAAGCCAGGCCTGCGTCTACGAGCCTGGTCACCTTCGCTTCTGGGCCTCCCACTCCTGCCCTGTCCCGCTGCGTGCACGCCCAGGCACATACATTACCATGTGTGCACAGACATAAGTCCCCATTGTGTTTCCTTCAGGAAATATTTGTTCACATGAACGCTGTTGCAAGCGCTCAGATATCCTGATTCCGCCGACAGTCTGATTTCTAGTGTTGTCCAGTAAACCAGGCAGTCTTTCACAAGACAGCATTCCATTCTTCAGCTAAAAGCCGTACACAGATTTTTAAACGGAATTTAAAAGAGTCACAGAATCATAAGGTAAAGATCCTGGAAGTTCTCCAAGTATCCCCCTCTGTGTCTTACAGTGGAGAAAACTGGGAGAAAACTGAGGAGAAAGACCTTGTGGGGATTGTACGTCACTGAGACCAGGGTCTCCTGACTTCCAGACAGCTAGTTATTTCTCTAACCATAGTCGCTGCTGTGAAAACGACAGGACTGCAGAGAGCCCTGCACGGCTGCAGGGCCTGGTCTCTCCCGTTCTCGTGTCTGATTCTCACAGTCTCTCTGCCAAGAC